GGAAAGAGTCACCCAAAGGAGACCTGGGACCAGAGAACGTAGCAGGAGACGAAGTGGACGAATCACAACTGTTGGAGGTGACACACTCTTATTGTGTGAACACAAACAGCTTCCAGCCCGCGCTTCACCACAGTTCACTCACCCATAAATCAAAGCTAATAATATCTACATCTTATTTATGAGTCACAAATTCTCCTGGCTGAAAAAGGCAAATAAGGTTTTTAAAGAGTTCTTAGTGAATAGGTAGAAGGTGGAGCGCTCCAGGCCTTTTCCACATTAGCAATGCACTTGGGGGAGGTGGGCAGGAAAGCGGGTTTGGGAATAACGAATAACAGGCCCTCCTTGAGTAACTGCATGCGTGCTCGCACGCACACACACACACACACACACACACTCGCCTGACACAGCTCGTATCCCAAACCAACCAGCCCCTCCATTTGAGAGTGCCTCCAGCGGCAGCCCCAGAAGCACGCCCACCAGGCTGAGTGACCACGTTGTGTGCAGTCCACCCTAGCTGCCCTGGACCAAGTGGGGAGGCCCTGAAACGCTCCCCCAGAAGGTCCCGGGTGGAGGGGTGCACACCCTGAGCAAACTTCTCTCCCACAGGCAAAGTGAGGACAGCGGACTTCATGCACAAGCAACTCAGTGAGTCAGACAGAAGTTGTTTCAAAGATTGGGCGTGGCCAGGGGACTGGCATTTCTGATCCCCGAGGACAGGAGTCATGAGGGGGAGTCACCATGCCTCTCTCCTGCAATGTCCAGGAGCTCTCCACTCAACTTCAGTTCCCCTCTGCTCATTTAATTATAAGAGCCAGAAACCCAGGCACTTTGTAATTTGTAATTTACCACGCCATTTAAGAGTCACTTTTAGCGGAAGACAAATTGCTGGACCCTCTGGGCAGAGCAGCCAAGTTTAGCAGGAGCTGGGGCCCTAAGCCAACAGGGCAAGCAAGGCGCTGGACGGACCCTGAGGAGCCCCTTCTTCAGTCTGGACCATGAACCAGGGAGATTTAGGAACCACAGGGAGAACTGAAGCCAGTGCTACCCAAAGGCAAATCTTAAATCACAGGATGTTTGGACAGACTTGAGTGGTCAAAATACAACAAAAAAAGATATACAAAGGATGTGATGGGTTCTTTCAGACACACTCTAACCTGCGGTGTGAAGTACAGCTGAAACGGGTAGAATCCACTTTTCCCAAAGGTGGCACATCTCATATTAGCAGCATCCGGACTAGACTCAGGATGCAAAGAAATGTCATTTACATTAGGGCCGCACCACACTTTGCTGGCTTCTGTCACGGATAACGATGAAACTAAATTTAACGCCACTTGGCAGTAGGGCTTGAGTTATGAGTGCGCGCGTCCCTGTCACTCCATCTGATCCTCTAAGTGTGTAGTTTGTAGGAGACTTGTTCACTGCACAGAGAGGTCCACTGGTAGGACCGCACATTTGAGCCTGCTGCGGCCCCTCCACCCGCCATAAATCAGGATCAACCTGCCCCACTGCCACCCCGCAGGGCTGGAGCTGGAAAAAGGGACCTGCCACCGAGGTCCTTTGGAGTTATGCAGCCTCTGTGCCCGGAGTTTGTCCCCTCTTGCTAACTGACAGCAGTCTTGAGGGCGAGGCCACGGGAGGGCGAGGCCACGGGAGGACGCCTGGCTCCCCGGCCAGGGTCAGGCCCGGCAGGTGCCCTGCGGCCAGAAAACACAGGATCGTCGCAACCACTGCGTACGTACGCACTGTCACTGTCCGGACAGATGGAGAAGACGGGAAGTGACTTGCCTAAGGTCACACATCTGGTCCGCAGAGAACTACCATCAGAACCCCGCACGGAGGCCCAGAAACAAAGCCAACTCCCTCCACCCCCGCCGTCGCCGCCAGAAGCCTGGAGGGGTTTCAAACGCGGGACCGCAGCCTCCGACCCTCGGCGCGACTGCCCGGTCCCGCGCCTCCCGGGCGCAGGCACCGGCCGCCCTCCCTCCGGGAGTCGCGGACACCTAGGGAGCGCACGTCACCCCCGCAGCCGCCTGCCTCTCCGGCGCGCGCACAGGTTCCTGAGCCCCGCGCGGCCCGTCGAGGTCAGAGAGCCCGGCGCGGAGAGGCCGGGGTCGGCGGCGGGACAAGCTCGGCGGACACGGAGGACGGCTCCCGCCACGGGCTCCCCTCCCGCGCGGCTGGGCAGGTGCCCGCGCCCGGGGCGCTGCCCCCGTAGCGCCGGGCCTGCCCCGGCGTCCCCGCCGAGGGCCCCGCGCGCCGCGCTCCCAGGCGACTCCCTGCAAGGCGGCCCCTCGCGCCGCGCCCGCCGGAGGCCGGGAAAGTTTCGGGCGTGCGGGGCCGGTCGCACTCACCTGGCCCAAGTTGAGGTAGCCGTGCGCCGCGGCCACGCGGTCCGCCGCGGCCGGGCCGCCCAGCACTTGCACCGCCCAGTGGTTGGTGTAGACGGGGCGCGGCGGCGGCGGCGGCGGCGCGGAGCAGGCGGCGGGCAGCGCGAGCAGCAGCAGCCAGCGCCAGGGGCGCGGCGCGAGCGGCCGGAGCCCGGGCCCGCCGGCGCCCCCGGCAGGCTCGCTCGGCGCCCGAGCGGCGAGTGCGCCAGGGGGTGGGGTGCCGCCTTTTAAAGCCGCTCCGCGCCGGAGAAGCGCCGCCGCCGCCGCTGCGGGCGGGAGCGAGGGAGGAGGGGACGGCCGCCGCGCGTTCCCGCCCGCGCGGCCCGGCGGCGCCCTGGCCCGCGCTCGGCGGCCCGCACCCGACCTTCGCGAGCCCGGGGCGAAGCTCCCCCATGGAACTTCCCGCAGACTTCGGGGGCCCTTGGAACACGCGTTCCACTGGCGTCCGGGAGGGCCCGGGTCGTCTCAGGTGAGTCCCGTTCCCAGCCTGGCGGGCTGAGGGCCGGCGCCCCCCTCCGGTAGGGCAGCCTGGCAGCCTGGGGGCCTCATTTGCCTGATGGTGTTTTGATCTGCGTGCGAGGCCTTGCTCTTGCTCGTCCCTGCGTGAGACAAGCGGCTCGCCCTAGGTCCTGGATTCTGGGGGAAGCCACAAGGAAAGACAGGTCAGGGCCCGTTCAGAGCTAGGCCTGATGGAAGGGGCTTGGTGAGGGGGGCAAAGACGTTTGGCAGATTAGCTGGCTTCGGGAGGAACCTCGGGGGACAGCCCCCAGGTTGCAGCCCACTGTGGGGTAGACGGTGCTGTGGATCCTGAGCTGTCCAGTTCCTAGCTGTGTGATCCTGGGCAAGTTGCTGTCCTTTCTGAGCACAGGGCTCCACCTGTGATTGCGGGTGACAGTAGTTATCTACCCTGTGGGGCTGTTTAGGGCATGACATGAGCGCTGGCCTTGCAATCGGATGTTGATAAATGTTTATATGAGCGCAGGGCCTGCCGCATGGTAGGTGATCACTAGCTATGTAGACTCTTAAAAAGCTCCCGCTGACCTGGGACCAGTCAGTGGGAAAGTAAGTGGAATCATCTTGGCCCCTGCTGCCTGGAGCAGCCTAGAATCCAACAGAGACTTATTTGGTGCACCTGGAGAGCTGTAGAAATGTTCACACCTGCAACAGGTGAATGGCAGGATCTCTTCTCCCATTCCTCCCAAGGGGTGTTGGTCCCAACTGGGCACATGTGGAAAGCAAGCCTTTATTACCCTGATTACTACCGGCTGGCGAAGAAACAAAAACTAGGCCAGGAAGGCCTTGAGGTGGGAAGGGAATCGTGCCCTGATGGTCTGTCTCCAGGAGCAGCCCCTTGCCTTTGGGCTGCTGTAGAGAGCTCACTGTGCGAGTCTGTGGCGTGGCAGGTGGAAGGTCAGTGACGAGGGGCAGGAGCAGGTGGGGACAGAGCAGGACCCATCCCGATGGCTTCCCTGGGTCCTTTCCAGCCTCCCTCTCGGGAGCCCTTCGGTTTCATAACCCACATGATTCATCCTTTCTGCTGGCGTGAGTCACCCCAGTGGAGGTGGGAGAACAGGGACCAGCCAAATCCTTGTTCACAAGTGCTCCTGCCAGGGGCCCCTCTGGAACCTGGGGACTGAATTCCCACACTTTCTTCCCTTTTCTGCACTAAATGCAGTTTGTCCTCCCTTTCCTCCCCTGGCCAAGTGGGCTCAGCCCACGATGCAGAATGCAGGCCCTGAGTTTCCCTCCTGCAGATGGCCTCGCCCTGCCCACGTGAGAGACAGAGGCCCTAACACAGGCTGGGCTGCCCTGCGGGAAATCGCACTGCCCTGACAGGGCAGAAACAGTACCTAGAACCCACAGCCTGTCTCTTCCCAGTGCCACCCTGGCTGCCCACAGAGGAGGGACACTGGATTAAAGGCCTCCCTCTGTCACTTACCAGCAATACACTTGTCACCTTTCTGGCCCCTGTTGGCCAGACTGTCCCTCGACCCTGTCCTGGACCTTGTGTTGTACTCCTTCAAGTACGTGACCCTCTTCAAGCTAAGGCTACACTGCACATAATCTAAGTTATTATGAAGCGGCTCATGTGTCCCCAGAGGATACTGCCACAGCAGCAGTGATTTTGACAGATAGAGATAAGGGTTTTTCCATAATAATTTAGTAGATTAAGGGATTCAGCCCACTGAACTGAGAGGAGACTAAAATGCATCTGAATTTTTATTTGGAGGGATCCGAATTTATTTTATTAATACATCTGCTCATTTGGGGCTAAACTTTCCATTTATTGTGGATGTGCCCAGACAATATCTTGGCTTCAATTTTGTCGGGAGCCCAGCTTCCCAAAATGAACATCTTAAAGCACCTGCTGTGGGTTGCCCATTGATTTACAAGGTGACAGGACAGCTTGATCCCAGAAGGACCAGCCCGTTGCACTGTGACTGGATCTGGAATAAGACCTGCCTCGTCTTCCTGTAGGGAGGGGGTTTACCACTCACTCCAGCTCCAGCTCTCCAGATGGCTCTTGAGGGCCACACAGCTCTGTAGGGACGGGGGGGTGGGGCCTGCTGCTTCCCTAGTCTGAGGTCAGCAGGCCTGCGGATGGACAGGACATAGACCACAAAGGTGACTGGAGCCAGGAAATTTTTCAGTTTTTTAAAAAATTTTATTATTATTTTTTTAAATTATTTTTTGGTCACACTACACGGCATGTGGGATCTTAGTTCCCTGACCAGGGATCGAACCCACACACCCTGCACTGGAAGCGCAGAATCTTAACCACTTCAGAAGGAGGCAATTTCTGGATCAAATTCTGTTTCAACACACCCCAAGTGGCTATGTGAAGTCTTCTGCTGTCACGTGGTCCAGGCATTACTGGGCACCCCTTGGCCCCAGCTGTGTAATCCTGTACTTGCTGTGAAGGGATCAATGGTGGGCATGAGAACATGTAATTCAGTAACATCTTCCCAGTGATGCCACCTCCTCTTGTCTGATTTGGGAAGATACTAGCATAAATATCACATCTTTGTATTGGCATTTTCTAAAACTTCTGAAGGGAAGTTTTCTAAACCTTCGGAAGTGTGCTAGGTTCGGTAGGTTTAGGTTGGGGTGGCATCCCTCAAAGAATGTCTGATGGGCACCACCTTCAGGATGTGGGAGAGGAGCACGCACTCAGCAGAGCTTCCCTGCTACTTGTGTGCAACCGCGGGCAAAGTTATTCCAGTATCCTCTGCCAAAATGGCAGTAATGATGCTGTACCCATGCAGGGGATCTGCGGAGCCAGTCAAAGCTGACAGGGGCCAAGCCCCTTGCCCAGCCTGGCACCAAGTACACGCTGAACAAATGGTGACACCGGTGGCCACTGCTGCCGCCGGGCACCAGGAGCTTCCAGTGGGGTAAGATGGGCAAGGCTGCACACTCTGTTCCTCTGTGGGGTTCACGGGCACATAAATGTCCTGTCCTTCCACCAGGCCTAGTTGCACATTTCCTCACATCTTAACATCCCTGAAATCGGGGAAAATCTCACAGTCCGTGTCTTGTGATCACCACTGGCCTGGACCGAAACTGACTTCTTCCTGAGAGGATTTGTGTTTGCTCCCACCAGTGGTCTGGGACACAGCTCCTGAGATCCCTTGGGGACCACATGGGTGGTGTGATCCCCAGCTGAGAACCAGCTTATGGTTCAAATGATCAGTACAAGCGTTTCTCCCTGCCTCCACCATGGCCAGGGGAGAAGCCAGGGGGCTCCCTGCTGTCCCTCTCTGGTGGTGGGTTTATTTCTCATCTTCTCCTGCACCAACGGTGCAGCCTTTCACTGGCACGGCTTCATGGAAGAGTCCCCATTGACACTTCCCAACTTGGACACTTTTCCTTTCTCAGTAATATGTCAAATCCTGATGCATCTTCCACTTAAGGGTGTCTCTTGGATTTGATGAATATGGCATTAATGCCCTCTAAGACATATTGCAGTAAAGATGCCTGTTTGACTCTCAAATGTATTTGATGTTTCTTATTGTAGCATCTATTAACATTCTACAGCAGAGGTACAGAGAGTGCCGTGTTTTTAATGAAAATCTGTTTTGACTCCTTTGGCAAAGCAAAGGTCTTCCATTGCCTGGTTAGTGTGAATTTTCAAATTCTACCCTTCTCTCAGGAGAACACCTGCATGGTTTAGACTACACAGCATTCAGAGGTGTGATGCCCGATGGGACGCATTCTGTAGAGCTGACAGCCCTGCCACCAAGCCTGGATAACACACATGGTCCCTAGCCTGGGGGGACAGGAGATGCTGACACAGATGCCACATAGCGAGTGGGCCTGTGATGAGAGTGGGCCCGCGAAAAGAGTAGACCACTGCCTCCTTCCACCCCTTCCACACACACCCCGTCTCCTCACCCCCCCCACCCCCGGTCCTAAGAAAGCACCCAGGCCCAGGGCTTCTACAAACCAGGGGTCCCCCAACTGACTCCAAGTCTTTTCACCCCAAATCCTTCTCGCTGTGGCGGGTCAGGGGTCTTCCCTTTCCGTCTTGCTCCACCTTCCACTCTGTGTTATTGCCAGTTTATCTCATCATCTCAGTGTGGGCTCTGATTCATATTGGGCTTTACTCCTTTTGCGGGGGTGGGTTGACCATCTTGGGGGGTGCATGGAGCAGCTCTCTGCCCACCCCACTCCCACCCACTCTGCCTCTCTGGTTAGACTCTCCCTTTATACCTAGATCCTCGTTGTCTTAAGAGTCTTGTGAGAACTCCTTCTCCTGCCAAACAATTATCCTGAATCTAGCAATTATGTATCTCAGTGTTCCTTTCATATACTCCCAGGCAAAAATTTAGTGTCAAACAAGGAATTTAGGAGCAAAACAGCTGAAACTCCCTCAGAAGCTCTTCCCAACTAAGAATGAAAGCTTTGCCGGTTCTCTGTTTTCCCTTCTTGCCTTGGCTCCCAGGAGGCTCTGCGCCCCATGTGATAGAAAACCACAATGGTTTACTTTCTCCTTGCCGCAGCAGTTAGGATGTTTCTGGTTACAAGTACTGGAATATCCAAGTAAAAGGTACGTGGACAATAAAGATGGCTCACTATCCCATGAACAGGAATTTGGTGAGAGCTGGATCCAGGGTTGCTAATTCAGCAGCTCAGTGATAGCAGGGCTCAAGATAGCCTTCCTGTCCTTTGCCTGGCCTTCTCCTCACGGACAGAGACAACTGCCCCACACTGGGGCATCTCAAGATGGCCTCCAAGGAAGGAACGGCAGGAGCGACTTTCCCTCTCCTGACTGTCTCATCTCCTTAGGGGAACACACCCAATGTCCAGTCCATTTCACCTCAGGCCCCACTGACCCGGACTGGATCACAAACCCTCCCCCTCCCAGGTAATCATTAACAGAGTAAGCGGGGTCACCCACGTTGGTTTGCATCAGTCTTGGTTTTCCTCCTGGGGAA